GAACGGAAAAATAAGGGACTTGCGTCTGCATTAATCAAAAAGCAAAACATTGTTAAACTTTAGTTCAAAATCAACACCCTGGACAGAGGAGGAATACACCATACATGGAAACGTTTCGCTGGACCATTAAAGTGGTGCCATCCTACGTTCTGGGGAAGGCATGGGGGAAGTCATGCTTTCCTCAGGGTAACACTGACAGTGATTCTCCGTCTTTACGTCCAGGTGTCTAACGTTTTCTCATCCTAAGCCCAACTGCTCTGAAAGGCATCAAGAGCTGTTACGAAAAAATCACTCCGTTTAGAAACCTGGACAGACTAGAGACCGCCTTCAGAAATAAATTCACATAAAATACTGTGAAAAAGGTCCCGAATCCCTGAAAGGAGAGTAAAACCTACTTAACAATACAAATGGAAGGAAGGAAGACCGACCTTGAAGACAACTGAGAGCAGGAGATGAAAAACGTCTTTCGCACAGCTCACAAGGTTCAGTGAGACAACGTTGTCAGAAACTGCAAAATACTTAACCTACTTGACAGGAGAAAACAAATACAAACGCATTTCTTACGTCATTATCCAAAATATTAAACATTCCCATTTCAGCCAATCGTTTCGATTCTTCCAGCTTCTCCTCGGCGATTCTAAGTTCTTCATCTAAAAGCAATAAGAACAGCACAAAAAAATATATTTATCAATAACTGCATTTACCAGGCACATCCAAATACTCAATTTTTTCCCACGCGTGTTCCCTTTAAAAGGGGTCCGATGTTCGAGTCAAATGCCACCACTTTTCGGTTTTGGGTCAAATCGTTTATCACTCCGCAGTTTCATATCGTTTTTTACATGACGCCTACTTTTTTCAGCATCCACCTTTTCTGGTAGTATCAGTGCGTAAAGAATAAATCAGTGGAATCTGGAATATCAGTGCGTAAAGAAAGAATTTCCAACTTAATTTTTGTTTCTTCTTTTCATGCAGCCGAACTATGGAGTCTATTTTTAATCAGCTTTTCTGAAAGTGGTGCTACGCCTGTTTCTTATGAAGCTGTTCAAGCTTCGGCGCTTTTTGCTGATACCGCACATCCAAACCGAATTCCGGTTTCTACGGAGTTTAGCTGTTGCCCGTCTCCTCAGGTAGTCAAACATTCCGATCCGCGCAGAAGCATCGGTCATACCATCGTTCAATATACCTTCCATTTTAATCTGATCAGCATTTATCGTACATAACATTGCGCACCTCTCCATCTGAGCCACACTTTCTCAGACTGATTTCTTAATTAGCTGTCGATTTTCTCATTGTCGTGCAGGATGGAACCAAGGATATCAAATTATTTTATTTGACAGAGCATGCTACCTTGATTGATTTGTTGGTTTTCACCTTGTTCTCCCCACTGAAATAGCACACCATATATTCTAACGTGCCTTTAATGATCAGAAGACCGTTCTTTTCAAGGACCGTTCGCCATGCTTCGGTTATTGTTTTTACTGCTACTACAGTTCAGCACGACCTCATCCACATAAAGCATGAGGTAGGGGCTGCTTTTAGCAGATCTTTAGTCATCGCGACTGTTGTCATTATAAACAGAAATGGGCTCCATGCCGAACCTTGAATAATTTCATCCCGTACACGGAATTCGAGTTTTGCCTCACGTACTTCAAGCTATCATTCCGCTGTGTCATACATGTAAGCCTAACATTTTTTCTGGTAGCAGATGCGTTCCCATGCTTCGCCAAATTGTCCGCCTCAATATTCGATCGAACGCTTTCTCCAGAGCTAGGAACACTATGTGAATGTCCTTATGGCCTTCTCTGTTTGGAAGACTTATCTTAAAACAAAGATAGCATGCGTGCTTGACCAGCCTGGCTTAAAGTCAAATTAACACGCGGTGATGTCGACCTGCTTTCTGTCTCTTGCACAGCCCCCTTTTGTACAGCTCTATGGTGCCGCTGAGCAGTTAAATTTTCCGACAGTTTTCACAGGGGTGCATGACCTTTTTCATTTCGTACAGAGGCATAAAAATACTCTTCCTCCATGATTTCAGCATCTTTTCATATTCCGT